AGGAGAATGCCATGGGAGACAGTGTCAAGACAGTGCCTTGCCCACAGTCTCTGCGTTTGTTATCAATTCCCATGGATTTCTAGACCTAGCTTGCCAGAAATTACCAGCAAACAGAAGAAAGTGTGTGGAGCTTCCGTTCACAGATAAAATTTGCTCTTATGTTTTGGAAATGTCTTGACTGAGCTTTTGAAAACCACCACAGTATTTGGAAGGAACGGTGTCAGCTCGGAGTCCTGTGGTTTTTAGCAGGGAGGGTGAATTCTGTTTGTAGTGCACAGCTTTCTGTGCCCGAGACTTGTCATTTCCTTGTTGGATGGTTTCCTGCAGAAAGTAACTGTAAAGAAGTTGTTGTAAATACTGTCCTCTGGAAATGATAATGTGGAGAAACGTCTCTTGATTTCTTTATATTTGAACTGCTAAAAAATCTCTTTTTTCCATGATGTTTTCACAGGTCCATAGGCCATGTTATTAGCAGAGAAACAGAGAATTTGCAGGTGCCTTACTATGTTGATAAAAACTTTGAAAAGAATTATCAAGGAGCAGAACTTCAAGAGCTAGAGAAAACCGTTGAAAAAGATTACATAGACTATATTCAGACCAGCTGCTGGAAGGAGAAACAGCAAAGTAAGTTATTTTTGTTACAAATATGTGCCTACAACCTATCAGTAGTTGTGCGATGGCTATGCTTCACAAAGCACTGCCATTTTTAGCCTCATCTTCCGATGCTTATAGCGTCTCAAACCTTGCACTGGTATTTCTCACATCTGCTCTTAACACTGAATTTACTATTCTTGAGGGTCTGTCAAAATTCATTTTAGGCGATTCTGAGAGACAAGTGGAAAGTAGCTTTCACCATTTGAGACATTTTTTCCACTTGGTTTTTGTGCTTGAATAACTCTTAGTTTTAAACGTATAATCTACCACATTTATCTAGCTCTGACAGATTGTTAGGGCTAGAAAAGATCTTGAGACATCACCTATTCCACATTTCCTTTGCTGGAGCAGAATCGTTTTTGCTTTGACTGGCTCCATGAGAAGATTATCTACCTTTTTCTTCAGAACTTCCATCAGAAGGAAAGCCCATATCCTATTCAGGTGGTTTTGGTAAATCTTGCAGTGGACTGCGTTACTGGTACGAGTTTTCAGGGAGCGTGCTTCTATGCTTGTTTTGTGCACTTATTTGCATTTTCTATCTTTAGATGAGTTTGAGATCATGTTTTTTACCATAGTCAAAATTGTTTTTTAAAAATAAGAATTGAATGCAGAAAGGGAGAACACAAAAATGTGAGCATTCAAAATCCTTATTCTCACATCAGTCCTAAGGCAATCAGTGACACGTGTAAAGGCGTGTATTTTAACCCCATATTGTATGACTTGTTAATTACTACTAATCTAGTTCATTGAAAATAGAGCAAATCCCTGCTTCTTTTGGAACTGTACGAAATAACAGAAATCAAATTACAAGGACTAGCTGAAGTTGGGATGTTGCGACTGATTTTTTTTGAGCTGAAGAACTCGTCTCTTTCACATGAGTAAACACAAACTACTGCTGTGCGTAAAGGAAACGGGAGGAAGTTGTTTCTGTGTAGATGTTTAATAGTAGCAGGCAAGCTGCTTTCACCCACTAGTACGGCTTTCTAAATTGCTCCGTGTAAAACAGTCCTCAGCACACTACTAAAAAGTGACTTTGCACTTGGTTACAGATTCCTTACCAATTGCATCATTATGGAAGCGTACGCTTTGTCTAAATAAAACTTGTTTAATCCTATGCTAGAGGTAACAATAGTGTTGCTGACTCCGAACTATTTACAGGTTTTTGATGGGAAGGATTGTTTTATGTAAAATAAAACAGTCTCTGGATGAAAATAAAAGTTATCAGTCTTGCTTTTAAAGAGAAATATACAGATGTAGGCTCTGAAGTTGAAAAAGAAAAGAACCCATAATATAAGATCATAAAAATCTCAAACAATCCCTTAGTTTTTGGTGTGCTTGACTTGTGATCTTTGAGCATCTGTGGCTGGCGGTAGCAGCCTCTAGGTATAATGTGGCTGTTAATAACCATAAATGTAGGCTTGCTATAGGGATAGAATTTATTTGTAACAGAAAAACCCTTTTAATTGACCTTGTGCAACTGAAAGTTGCCATATTGTCTCTTTCACATAGACCTTGAGCTAAGGAGTGCCGTGCCCCAAAACAGGCAACAAGGTTTACAAGTCTAAGAGAGACTGGTAGTCAGAGAGGGGGAGATGATCCAGCACTGAATGCCTGGAAAACAGTGCTCCTCTGGAGCTTTTTACACTTACAGACTGTATTAGTCACACATCTGCAAATATATTTACAATGTCCACAATTAGCAGTAGCTGGACGAGACCACTGTAATTAAAAACAAAAAAAAAACAAAAAACAAAAACATTTTCAGAATGATTACCATCTAGGCCAGGAGCAGGTAATGAGCGCAGCTGAGACTGCACTAAGTTTAGTACAGCCAAGTTTGTAAAAATAAACTGTGAATACAAGGTGGAGTGCTGGGGAAAAGTTCTTTGGAGATGTTGAGACAGTTCTTAGTCAGCTGTTGCTTCATAACTTTGGTCCATTAATTCTTGTTTAAGTATTTAACGTCATGCAGTCAGCTTTTTGTCAGTTGAATGACTATTAACGGTACATTTTTGTTTGCTGAAGGTGCATTTCTCTTTAACACCAGCAAAATGTACATAGGTTAGTTATATAGGAACAGTTTGATTTTTCAAGTCCTTGATTTTATGACTTAAAGTGTAACCTGGCATCCAACTACCTTAATGAAAACTTCAGAAGTAACTGATGTATCGGTGTCTTGTTCAGCCAGTCACTTTTATACTGCCGCACTAGGCAGCGTTCCTCCCTTCACAGCAGAATACTGTGCAAAAGGTGCATACGCTGTGGGTTGTGGTCTTCTGAAATCTTTGATACAGTTAAGCACAAAAAGCACATCCCAGGTTGTTACGGGAGATTGTTCAGCTGTGAGGGCACAGTTGTAAAGTAAGACTGCAAAGAGCTCCAAGTTGCAGAAAATTACAAAGAGGGAACTGAAAACAGTGAGAATAAGGATATGTAGTTGGAATTTGGTATTTCAGAACTTCCTTGAAGAGAAGAGTTCAAAGGAACAACTCTATGTAAAAGACTGAGAACCACAAGAAACAAACGTGACAGAATGAATGCTGTCAAAAGTGCAAGCATTTGCAGTGAATAATTTTGCCCGGTTGGATAAGTGTAAACTAAGATTCTTCACTGCAGAACTCCAGGGACTCTGAATTTGGAGACAATTACCTGAGTCTGGTTTTGCTGAAGGCTTGTCAAGGCTATGTGCCTGTCACTACTTGAGTGGCATTTTTAGTTATAAAACCTGAAAATTGATTCCTGATCTAAAATAAAACGTTCATGCCTGTCAGTTTGTAAAGCGTTTCAATAAATAGGTGGAGGGTTAAATGGCTTTAAATTTCAGTGGGACGGGGGCAGAGGACATAAGGCATGAAAGGACCTATTGAAGTTCTTTCCACCCTGAATAATTTTGTAAGATGAGGGACTTATAAGGTGTATAAAAGCTCTTTGAAAAATTGAGTGTCATCGGGTAGCCTGTGCTTAGGGAAATCTTGACATTTTCAGAAACAAATTACTGCTGTTCTCTTAGGTGCATCTAATCCTGGATCTAAATTATTCTTCAGGGAGAAAGCTATGTTAAGACTTCCTTAGCTAATCAGCAAAAGAAACTTCTCTGAATTACTGGGGAGAAAGAATTTAAACAATGGGATTATTTCAGTTTGATGTTGCTTTGGAGAAGAAGGGGGAAAAAATATGCAAAGTCCATTTGAGATTGTATTGTTAATGAAAGGACATAGGGGCCTTTCAGACAAATCCCTCAGCTAGCTGTTCACCTTCATGTAATCAATACCAAAACAAAAGAAAAAAAAAAATTAATTTATAATCCCTTCTGGGCAAACTTCTTGCCAGACTGAGTTTGAATTCTGAGAAATGCAAGATCAAAAAAACCCAGTTATCTGTACCTTAAAGTGTATATTTGGATGGGTGCTCTGGGCCCTTGCAGAATGGATCTGCCAGAAGAATTGCATTTCTCAGTTACATGGGCAGGGGATGTACGTCTTGTAGTTCCTGCTTAGCTTATTAGGCTGCAGATGGCTGAGACAGCCCCAAGGCAGCGAGAGGAAAAGTAGTCACGAGGTTCTCTTTCCTTCTGGCTTGTCGCTTAAATACCACTGATAGGTATAGAGTAACCCCAGTAACGCTGCCGGTCTGCGCCTGGTGATACGTCAGCAAGGATCGATGCACGATGAGATGAGATCTAATTCAAATGTAAATAGCGGTATTGGCCCAACACAGGTGCTGTGTAGCAGACAAAATGGTATCCTACTACCCCCTTTTTAGGCAGTTAGGTTAACTACATACATTTATTTTAAAGCAATCACCTGTTCTTTAGATCATCGACATAATTTTAAATCTTAAGTGACTTCTAAGCTACGCTTCTATACTTTATGTTTTCTTTGTAAACAGTAACAATCGTTCTTATTTTTTGTTTTGGTTATTGTCCTACTAGTGCACTGGTAGAGAGGGTTATTGTAACTGTTTGAGTTTTCAAGCAATTACAAAAATACTGATTTCTTAAATAGCTAGCCTGGTTAAACCTGGTTAAGCCTTTCATTAAAGAAAGTTGTTAATGTGCCCAGTTTCACTGAAATAAGGTGAATTAAAAAAAAAAAACCCACATGCCACAAGGATAACAAGGCATTGATAAACAGTTATTTAAAGGAGGCTCACAACTTCATCCTAATATATTTTTTTCATCTTACAGAGTCTGATTTGTCAAATTTGGCCAAGCTATACAGAGATGAGCGGTTAAAACAGAAAGCAGAATCGCTGAAACTTGAGCACTGTGAGAAGCTCTCCAGTCTGATTGGAATGCACAAAGGGGGCTGACCAGGACACACATGTTCTGTAGTTTTATTTATTGCTGTTTTAACTTATGTTTTTATTTTCCTTTGTCTAAAAAGGGAAGGAGTCTATTGTAAAGAGTCTGAATATTCGAGTCCTTCTGCATATAGTGCAGAGATGGGCCAACACAAGCTGTAGAGCTAGTGTTTGCTGTAATAAGTACTGTACACTATATTTGGTTCCAAGGACCAGTGGCACTTTGTAAATTAATTCCCCGGGAGACGCTATTAGTTTGGAACCTGTCTTCATCGGTAGTTTGTCTGCCATCCAAACCATGTATACTTCCCAGGAGAGCAGACAGACATCTTGGCTTTCTGTATTTTATATGGACCTGCAATTCACTCGATCGTACGAACTGCGTAGTTCTCAGTATTAAGTGCGCTAGCCTTCTCATACTGATACCAAGTGGATGTCCTTGCTTCTACAGTGGTTTGTAGTGAGAATTTAGATGGAAGGCAACGGGTTTTTTTCCTGTTGGAGTGTAATATGCAATGCTTAATTCGAAAGAGTCAAGTACCTGCTTCAGGTGCTTGAGCACACTCCCAGATCTCTCTGCTGTCAAAGGGACTTAACCCTGTGCTTGTCTGACTCGAGGGCCCTGCCCGTTCTGTTCCGCCGGGAGACAACACGCTGAGATGCTGACAGCAACATCAAACGTGAAGATTCGAGTCTGTGAATCGCACCAATTCCAGCATCTGCCATACTGTAGAGAAAGGACAACCTTATTTGTTTTCTCATATGTTTTCAGTGGCATATTTTTAAGCTGGCTGTTTAATTCTGTTTTTTATCTGCAAACTCTTCTCCAGCTGCTACAGGGGTCCTGCTTTTTCTGGTTACAGTTTTGATGTAGCATATTTTTACTCTGTTGAGCAGTTACGAATGTTTCACTGTAGAGATTAGTATTGCAAAGAAAAAGATCCGTGTAGTAGTGTCCTGTTTTCTCTTGATCCCTCCTTTACACAACCAGGCATTTAAAAGGCAGGTTGAGGATGGGTTTTACTCATAAGCAGCAGAGAACAGAATGTTACTCCAGTTGAGCATCGTTAACCGGTTTGTCTGGTGGGGTGCCATGGGTGTGGACCACATGTGGAATGAACTATTCTTCCAAAGGACATCTCCGAGCGATACAGGCACTGGAGCTGCCGGCTTTCTGCCCTCCCTCCCTGATGTGGGGACTTAGCCTGACCTGGAAGTACATGTCTGTTAAAACAGAACAAGTCTGTGCTGTTGCCCCCATTCCTAAAACTCACTACGAGTAGCACAGGATGCCTTGGCTTAAATCTGGGAAGCAAAATGCTCAAAAGTTTGAGAAATGCCAGAATTAAAATTGCCTTTAAAGCTTAGACCAAGTCTCCATGTGCCCGGGCGTTATGGTGCAGTCGCATCCTAGTGCTCTGCCCGTGCGATGAGTGTGTCCCGTGGGCACAGTGCATGAGGTAGCCGCTACCGAGAGCAGGGAACTGGGACCGTAGGTACCAGAAAGTGTCCCCTTGGTGTCCCTGTCCCAGCGGTGGGAGCAAGCGAAGCTGGGAGCTGTAGGCAGAGAAGCTTTTTCTGGTGGTCTACACCAGAACAGGGGTGTTTGTCTTGAATTTTGAGACTTGGTACTTCTGCAGGTGAGATGTATGCATCCCATATACGATGACATCATTGCAACTGCAGCAGCATTGCTGCTATGACATGGTGGTGTGTGAAAAAAAATTGAAAAAACCCAACATAGTGACTCCTTAAAATGACAATTTTTATGGTAAGATTTGTTCCCCATTGGGAAATTTTGTAGGAGCGCTTGGGGAAGTGGAGCAGAGTTTGTCAGCCACTCGGGAGGGAGGAGTGCCAGTAAAAAACCCATTTAGAGGGTGTGGTTGTGAAATATCTTTAGTGTGAGAGTCTGCAAGGGGAAAAATGTTTGATTTTTCTAGATTTTAATGTGGCTGGCAGTAGGGCAGGCAGCCTTAATTCTGGTATTTCCTCGTTTTGAGCGCATAATGTGAGTGTGTACAAAAAGTGAAATTCTTTTAATGTTGCTTTTTATATATAAAATAGTTTGTAGAATATATTTGAACTATATTAAAGCAGTTGGACTTTGTTCCACGTTCGGTATCTTCCCTGTCATTCCCGTTTGACTCCCATAGCTATAAAGTGATATAGGTGGGGAGACCAAACACGACAACTTTACTGGCGCTGTGCTGTCCCGTACGGAGCTTGAATTTTGCATTTGAAATAGATTGCACCTTTCATCCAAAGATCTCAAGGTGCTTTATGGAGGTGGGAGACCTCCTGCGAGAAGCACAATAATTTTCAGTCTTCTCCACAACTAGGAAAGAGGCCAGGATGAAGCAGAAGATGAGACTGGAAGGTAAAAATATTTCAAAAAGCAATAAGATGTTCTTTGTTCATAATCGCAGTCAAGGGTGTTACGGATGACTATTTGCACGCCGGTGTTGTATGCTGTGAATAAGGGCATTTGGCTGTAAAATGTCTTTGGTGATAAACACAAGAACTTTTTTTAAAGCACTGGCATCCTACTCAGTAAGGGAAAAAAAAAAAAAAACGAAAAAAAAAAGAAAGGAAAATCATCTCTTGTGCCCATGGCTGTTGAAATGCATTGCTGTCATTAACCAAAGGTTACCTGCTGAAATACTGACTTCTACTTATTTCGTGGGTCTCT